AAGATTCATAGCATTAAACGATTACATGCGAGGAGAGAACTTGCATCTTTAAACCGCAAATTTCACGCGATTTCAACAATTGGCCAAAAAACCACAGAGGCAAAACGATTATAAATAAAGTACATAACTTGTAGACACACGTTTTTAATACATATTTACGTGAGACTGGTAAAATAACTTTGATACGAACAGTTTTACATCAAATATTCACGTTCATTTATCTGCCATGGTGTTTTTTTTATCGGGGGAAGTATTTTGCCGAATGTCCTCTTATCAAACGTGAAAGTGTGATGTGTGATGGCCCGGGTATTTACATCTAGGCTTCAATCATTTGTATATTATTTGTATACCATGCGGTAATCTAACGGGTGAGATCTGGGCATGCTTTGTGTTTTTTCTAAATTGAAGATAAACGTATAACCTTCCGATAATCAAAGTAGGTTAGGTACTGGATAATAAGATAATTATTTTGAAATAGCTTCATAAATGCACGTTGTAGCGCTTCTAGGATAAATCAATAAAAATAAAAATAAAGTGGACAAGAGGCAATAAAAAGAACAAAAGACACAATATAACAAAAGGTAATGTACCGGAAATTCCAACACGATATGAAGGCCAAAAACAGACAAATAGGTAGGTAAGGAGCGATTAGATATCATCATTATTATCTTATGTTATGGAGAATAAAATAAATATGGAAAAATGTTTTATACAACGTTTATAAATTCTACTATTTTAAGAATAGACGTAGGATGACAATAGGCTGCAGTTTTTTCCGTGTCCATCAGCACTAATTTTATTAATGTTTGGTCCGTCTCCGTACTAGACTAGCACTTATATACTTCTGTCCACGAATTTCCGTATTGGTAAATAGCATAAGTTTAGATTATATCTGCTATGCAACATGGCGTTATAGGCCCAGCCCTGATGGACTGTAGTGTGAAGTCTGTAAAATATCTACCAAAGTCTGGGATACATTACTTTCAAATTACAATTTAATACGTCTCCTTTCAAATTCTCCCAATATACGTTCAATATATCTATCACCGCATAACGAAGATTAAGTCACATTATCCACCGGTAATCCCAAATATCAATGACCATTTCGTCCATTTGTTTAACTAAAATTTCCCGCAATAACTCAATATACAAATTTGCCTTTTAACGAAACCTTTAAAGTCTAAAGCTTTGCTTTCAACATTTAAAAATGTCTGTTACTTTAAAGTCTTTTCAAGGCCTAGGTCACGTACTACGTAATTAAGAGGGATAGTCATGAATGTTCCCATCTGTCCGTGAATCACCATCTGTCTAGAATTGGTTCTCCGTGAATGCTTCGAACAGCGGGGAAAATGTCTTCTTTTGAGAATTTTTGTATCTTTTGAGTGCCTTATTTGTTATATAAATGCTAACAAAATACCAATATTTCAAACGTATAATACACCAGAAATAATCGCATTAGGCTTATAGCAATTTCTGCAGTTAATCAAAATATGGTATGTATTACTAGTAAAACAACGAGCTGAAATTATGTTTATTCTTATGTTTCAAAGAACAACATGATTTGTCGAAAATAAAATGAAGATATCATAATGATAAGCCAATCCTAGATAGATACGATTTTAAAATTCTTAATTTGTTTTAAGTTTATGAAAATCTAGATATACTTAAACAAAATTGAAAAAATCCCAAACAAGGTGTTGATAAATAGCTAGTAGAGGATCAGTTTATGTCCTCTACAGCTCTACAACGGGATCTAAGTAAATCTCCAGTAAAGAAAGGTTTAATGACACCAAAAGGATAGATTGATATTAATACATAACCCCTTAATCTTACCTGGATAAAAGGTTAACTAGAAAACTAAAAATCCACTACACACTTTAGGAACCTGTAAGGGTCAATCAAATCTATCATGCTTGTCTATGAATGGAATGTAGTGCCTTAAACAACCGTTTCTTTAGTAAAAATATTGTTCAATCTCCACTGTTTATGCGGTCAAGTTGAAAACTCTACTCATTTTCTTTTAAAATGTATCGGGTACGACGACATAAGAAGACGGTATTTATATTCTTTGCCTTATAATGTTACAACAGCCATTTCACTGTAGCAACAACCAAAACCCTGCACCATTTAGTCACTCATGTTCCTTCCCTTGTTTAAACTATTGACACTGATTGTGTTATTGTATGTTATTGTTTACAATATGCTGTCCATCCTAAATATATTTTCAGTTTATGATAAGGTGATACATTAACCATACTGTAATGTAGCAACACGTATTATATTGTATAAATATATATAATTGAAATACTTGAAAGTTAAACTAACCCCATAAATGCATTCTATTTTCATCATCATCAGTCTCATCGGTAGTCGTTATTATAAAAAAGTAACGAAATGAAAAATGAATATATATAAACAAAGAGATTTGTTTGCTCTGGGTTACACTCACTCCCTTCTCCATGTTTCACCCCGTCCTTTCATCAAAGAGTGATGTCTTTACTTACTTACAAAATACAGCTAATTAGTGAGTTTAACGACTAGATTTTTAAATTGTACAGTTGAACTTTTTCACTGTACTTATTACAAAGGAGATTATAAGTAATAAAGACAGTACAGACAATGGCATTTGTCAAATTTTAGATAGGTTTAGGTTTAATTTTGTTTAATGTCCTATTAACAGCTAAGGTCATTTAAGGACGTGCTTTCATGTGTGTGGTGTATGCGTGCTTGCTTGTATGCAGGAGACAGGATATGGTGGTGTGCTTGCCTCCTTGTGATAGCGCGCATCTGATGCCGACTTTATAGTGCTATCTCACTGAAATGCCATACCGAAAGCACCCAGCACAGCATTCCACCTGGTCACATTATACTGACAACGGGTGAAACAGTTGTTGCCATTCCCCTAAATGCTGAACGTTAAGCAGAGAATAACAACTACCATTTTTAAGGACTTTGGTATGTCCAGGACAGAACCCATTGCCTTCCTCATCTGGGCGAACACTCAACATTCAAGCCAAAAGTGAGGTGTTGCCAAGCAAGGCGCTAGGAAGTAAAAGGTGGTTAGAAGTAGAAGGAAAGATAAAGATCCCAAATATTGCATTGGGCGCAGCAGATTATTTTTGGTCGCTGTTGTGTCCTCAAATAGAGGACACCAAAGCAAGTCCCCAATTCTGCAGGGTGTTCACACGTTAGTCGCTTCCTACGGTACAGGCAGTGGGTAACAGCAGGTGTATTCTTTTCCCAATCTGCAGGGGTGTCAAATTTTAGAGGTAATCCGACTCTTTATTAAGACACGAACATTAAACAATAAAATGTATACAATAATGTTATGCTGATGTTTAGGTATATCCATTCGGCCGACTGGGAGCCGAAATTAAGATAATTCTTTTCATGAAGCCACAGTGTTCTAACATGCGGATAACTCTCCAAAGGCAGTTGTGCTATCTAAGATCACTGGGTAAATTAGACGCACATATGTTTAAAACAAACCGCGTATTATTAACTGATTTCGATAAAGCTATGGCAGAATATGAACACAGGAAAGGTACGATGAGAATAAGACCAGGTGTTCCGGAAGGGTAAGAGTCATCTGCTTCATCGACGACACGCTCCGTGTAAATCGAGGTCAATTCCATCTAATGTTCGTATACCGAAATAAAAACTTTGACCTTCATAAATCTGCCCACAATCTTCATCAATTTGCATTTCTGTAAACCATGTGTTGTAAGTTTGTCCGTCATGATAGCACTTTGTAACCATTTAGTTCGATGTACCATACCCTAGTAACGTGTGTTTGATGTATATAATAACACTAGTCCAAGCCGGCTGTATCTGGACACTGTTGCTGCCTTACAGTCCAATTAGTTAATAATATTGTACCAAATTATTTCAATACTGAAATATACATTTTTTGGTTTTACATGTGATCACCGCCGGATAACAAAATATGAAAAAAAAAAAATCTAAAATTTATGGGAAAAGGGGATTTAATGTTACGGAATTTTGAATGATTACTAATGACTTATTGTGCCGGAAACGCTAATATTTCTACTGTCATGGTTTTGTTTCCCCTTTCTGTGATGTAGTCTGTTTTGGTGTCTTCCCAGTTCGATGAAGTAGAAAACGCTTACCTTTCCAGAACACCTGGTCTAATTACCTTTGTTCTTTTGCAAGAGCCTCCATGTAAATCTTTCTTATGTTCGTTTTTTGTCAAAGTTTATCGATATTGAGTTCGAATTATAGCTTTGTTAATACTTCAGTATTCCCCTGTTTTCCTTTTTGTTTCAGTGTCTGCTCGGTTCCTGTCAGTCAGTATCAATCATCTCAAGAGTTCATTTTCTCCTACTTTATTGACGCTGTGAGACTTTTTTTCTCTTTATTCTATGAAATCTCGTATTGCCAACAAACTCACTTTAAAATAAGCGAAATCTTGAATTAAAAATCCTGTTTGAGTAAGAACAGGTTGTGTTACTAGTGTATGATTTAATGAACTATTGATACTTGCATTGCAGCACTGTAAGCTCCAGATCGTCAGTGTGAAGATTATATTCCAGCCAATATTGGACTCAGTTTTCCATATAAATATTTGATTAAATGTCGGTTTTAATGAAATGAGTTAGGTTCAATATACATATGTACCATCTGTAAATAGAGACAGATTTTCACACTATTCATTTAAAATGATAATTGATTAAACATTGATGAACTATATCGAAGAGAGCACGAAATACATAGGAATAGAACGCATATACGTGCGAAGCTGATTTACACATTACTCTTGCTATTCTTGTCTGTATAAGTGGTGTCGTGGTTTTACTGCCAAACGTTATCTTCAAGTCTAAAGATAAGTTTCAGTAGTTTAAGCTGTACAGGTGTATACAAAATTTACTCCGGTATCGCAGGCTACCAATACGAGTAAGGTCAGTAATGCAGACAATATCAATACGCAGAGTTAATCGCAATATACATGTCCATACGTATTGGATCGAAGTGGAAGCCTACCTCTATATGAAACGGACTATAGGCAATACGTACATAGGTGCCGGGTGGGTATAGCACTGTTAAACTTTGCATCAAATCGACAGATCAATATACACTGGCGCTGGTCATCCCAGACCAGAAACGACCAGGGGACAAGATGACCATCACAAAACTAGCCATAGTTGTCAGAACAAATGTTCCAAAATCTGCTATACAGAAGGACTTCCTGGGCCAGCTATCATCATACCTGGCCAAAAAATACAAAACGGAAACACAGGTAAGAGGACATCCTAGGCCAGCTATCATCATACCTGGCCAAAAAATACAAAACGGAAACACAGGTAGGGCTGCGTTTTGTTAAATATTATGCTCTGCTTTCTACACTCATATTGAAACCTTTTGTAAAACATCAATTAATCATTCAAATCTTATCTTATTTCTTGAACTGATCAAATTGTAGAAATGCAGTTAAGTGTGTATCTGGTTTTCCTATCTGTGATTGATTGGTTTATTAACTTCTTAAGAAAGTGCCGACACATGTTGTATCAGCCTTTATTAACCAGGTACATATATAGTCTAACTTATCACAAACATATTTTTGTCACGACACTTGAACCAATCGAATCTTGTTTAGTTTAGATTACCTCTTTCGCTTGAACTTGTATTTTCGGTGTTTGTTGTAACTGACTTTAATGGTATAACGTATCTATTTAATATTCGATACTGGGTTCAAGTTCAAGTTCTTTATTTGCTGAAGTTTTACAACTTATGGCAATTACAGATAAGACAAAAACACTCACAAGGACACACTCACACTGACTCGGAAACATCATCATCATCATCAAGAACACTCACACTAACTCGCACACATCATCCTCATCATCTTCATTATCCTCATCTTCTTCATCATCATCATCCTCATCATCTTCATTATCCTCATCTTCTTCATCATCATCATCATCATCATCATCATCATCATCATCATCATCATCATCATCATCATCATCATCATCATCATATCATCATCATCATCATCATCTCATCAACATCATCATCAACATCATCATCATATCATCATCATCATCATCATCGCATCATCACATCATTACATTATCATCATCATCTTCATCATCATCATCATATCATTACATCATCAGCATCATCATCATCATATCAGCAACAGCAGCAGCAATCATTCGTCATTCATCATACTCACATTCATACACACGCCAGAACCATTTTTCACCCTCATTCACCCATGCAAGACTTATCAATATAATGGTATATTACATAATTTGTATAAAATAAACTGATGTACAACATGTATCTTAACATGACCTGTTCTATTGATGACCTCTTAATAAATCTGCTCTTCGTTTAGACGCTAGTGATAAATACTTTCCTAAATTATTAAGTCCTTTTGTGTTTTTTCGATTTCGAGTAATTGAACAAATTTATACATACTAGGCATTTTGAAATAATATTTCTTTATGTATTTAGACCGGAGGTCTGACTAGTGATTACATTTAATTATAAAATGAAATTCATCTTCTATATCATTTTCATTACATAAAATACATTTTCTTTCTTCTCTAGGTATATCTCTGTAACGGCCACGTTCAATAGACAGGTCATGCGCACATAAACGTATCTTAGACATATGTTTTAAATAATTAAAATGAATTGCCTTATGAAGATATGGTTGCAATTTAATACTTTCCACTAAATGCTGATATAATACTCCTTTAGAAGAAGAATGAACTTTCTCTAGACAATCTTGCTGAAAACTATCACATTATCGCTGCTTATATACTTCACTATAATGATTAATACTATCAATCACAAACATGTATCCAAGGCCGACTCTTGAAAGATCATGTTTTAAATTAAGGATCCAGGGGTCTTTGTTTTCAACCATATCAACATAACAAGCTTTCAGCACACAGTTATCAGAACGTTGTAATTACTTTAAATACTTTAAATTTTTAATTTTTCTTAACAGCTCTAAATGAGATCTTCCAAATTCAATATAAAGAAATGCAGAGTTTGTAGATTTTCTTAATCCTAATAATGATTTCAAAAATCCAATATGCAATTTTTCTATTTCGGGTGCTTTATACATTAAAATACTATTGACAAACGTGTCAAAAACAGCAAGACGAGATTCTATATTAAAATAATTCTTTTTACATACATTATTTATGGCAAATAGTGCTTTTAGACCTTGTTCTGCAAGTTGTTTTTGTAAATTTTCCATTATAATTTAAAGTGAGACCAAGATAATTAAACTCATCAACTACTTCAATCGCATCATTATTATAAAACCATTTTTCTTTTGCTCTTATTAAACCTTCATTTCTAAAGATAACTATTTTTGTTTTATCTACATTTAAAGTTAAGCTCCATTTTCTACAATAATCTGATAGTGAATCTAACATTTTCTGCAAGTCTTCTGGTGTTTCCGGTAGTATGACCATATCTTCTGCATACATAAGTAAAACTAAATTAATGGTTTGAATTTCTAGTGTAAGCAATTATTTTTTATAAAATCCATTTCTAAATCATTAACAAATAATGTAAACAACAAGGGAGATAATATTTCCCCTTGGAATAAACCACAATCACATTTGAAAAATTCAGTAACACCTTTGAATTTAACACAACATTTTACATTGGCATATAGAGTTCTTATTATTTCCAGGAATTTAACTTCTTTACCTTTCTTAATCATTTTATACCAAAGATTTTGTCGACTAACAAAATCAAAAGCTTTTTTATAATCTATAAAACAGCAGTAAAGTCTGTTTCGTTTTTTGAGAGTTCTATTAATTAATGATTGTAGTACAAAAATAGCATCTATCGTGGAAAGGTTTTTTCTAAATCCAAATTGTACATCTGTGATAATATTATGTATTTTATCAACATTAACTAATCTTTCATTTAAAATGGCAGTGAAATTTTTTCCAAGACAACTTACTAATGTAATACCTCTATAATTATCAGTTACATTCACATCCCCTTTCTTAAATAGTGGTATAATTGTTCCAATATTCCAATTATCTGGAAAAATTCCAGAACTAAATATTCCATTAAAAAGCAATTTTAGACATGGTGCCAATGCATCTTTACAAGTAACAAACACTTCATTTAACAAACCATCAAGAACACAAGCCTTATTTTGTTTTAAATTAGATATTGCATGTAAAACCTCTCTCTCAGTAATCTCTACATCTAATTCAGAATAAGGGTTCATATAATTACCAGAATCATCATAAGCATTCATATATGCATCAACTCCCTCATTACGATCAGGAACAGTAGACGCCAATTTTTTAAAATGTTCAAAAAAATCTTCTCTTTACAAATCACATTTTCTCGCTTTTGTCTTTCTTTTAAAACTTCTCTAAAATGTTTTCGGGTTATATTTTCTCAAGTAATTCATCATGTTACCCTTCTGGGTCTTGTATTCTCTTTTCAGTTTTAATTCTAGCTTCTTGTATACCTTTTTCTTATCGATCAAACTTGTATGATTGTCATGTGTTTTATTCTTATTAAAGACTGAGAGAGCAGTTTTTTTATTCTTTGAATTTTACTTTACAAGTTTCTGAAAACCAAGGTTAATCTCCCTTATCATAGTTTTTAGATATAATACAAGATGGAATTTGAACGCAATAAGGTTCAACAATGGTTCTAAGTAATTCAGAAAAATCTGCGACACTTTTATTTACACTATCCAAAAACATATCCATATTTATACATATATGCATTAGACTATCGGCATTATTACTGACCATTGTTTTAATTAACTCAATATGTTCCTGATTCCATCGCGTAGAATAAAACAGCTCATTATCACCATGTATATTTTCTTCTATAATCTTAATTTCTACTGTAAACACAATAGGCGAATGGTCAGAAAAATGGTTTAACTCTCCGCTTTTAAAATTTCCTATAATTTCGAAGTTTGACCATCAACAAGAACATAATTGATTAAACTTGTTCCCAAACTATTATAAAGTTAATACTGCCTTTATCGTCGCCCGGATGTCGCCCATTTACGATTCTCAAACCACTTGCTTTACATAAATTCAAAAGTTTTCTTCCCATTGTGTTTACAATTTTATCTGTACTTCTTCTTTCAGTAACATTAATATAAGGTAAGTAATTAAAAACAATTGATAAAACATGGAAAGGTAAACTTCCAATATTGTCATTTTCTATAAAATCGCTACTTGTTCCAGTTCTACTATTTAGATCACCAATAACAATCACGTTTCCGTATTCATTGTCTTCAAAAATATCAACGTCATTATTATCATCGTATACGCTATTGGCCGGAGGCACATAATTAGCTATAATAAAACAATTTTTGTTATCTTTCATATACTTAGAATCTAATTTGATAATAACAGAATGATCAAATACAACTTTTTCGATGGAAACTATTTGCTTAATGGTTTCTTTACAATAAATAACAATTCCTCCACCCCTTCCATCATTTCTAGGAACAGATTTAACATCATAACCAGGTAAAGTAACATCGTCATTTTCATTCACCCAACATTCATACAGGCAAATAATATCATATTCAGCAATAGTATTAATAACATCATTATCATTTAGTTTTTCTACAAGGGATCTGGCGACATTCCATGATATTACAGAGATATGTCCCTGCCTGTCCTAATATTTATTATGGGATCTCCCCGTAGAACCTAAAGGAACACTTCCGGTACATCTTGCTATATATGTTCGATACTGGGTACATCACGCTATATATGTTCGATACTGGGTACATCACGCTATATATGTTCGATACTGGGTACAACACGCTATATATATTCGATACTGGGTACATCACGCTATATATGTTCGATACTGGGTACATCACGCTATATATGTTCGATACTGGGTACATCTGTGATTGATTGGTTTGTTAACTTCTTCAGAAAGTGTCGACACATGTTGAATCAGCCTTTATTAACCAGGTACGTATATAGTTTAACTTATCACAAACATATTTTTGTCGGACACTTGAACCAATCGATTCGTGTTAAGTTTAGATGACCTCTTTCGCTTGGACTTGTATTAATGGTATGACGTATCTAGTGAATATTCGATACTGGGTACATCTTGCTATATATATTCGATACTGGGTACATCTTGTTATATATATTCGATACTGGGTACATCTTGCTATATATATTCGATACTATATTCGATACTCGGTACATCTTGCTATATATATTCGATACTCGGTACATCTTGCTATATATATTCGATACTACATGTAGGTACATCTCGCTATATATATTCGATACTGGGTACATCTTGCTATATATATTTGATGCTGGGTACATCTTGCTATATATATTCGATACTGGGTACATCTTGCTATATATATTCGCAGGTGGGATTTTTATTAATCAAGACAAGTACATTTAGCGCAGTCAATCTGATATTTACGCTTTTATCTTTTCAAACAATTTATGTGTGCGGCACATGAATCTAATGAATAATTTTCGCTGATAAATATATGAATGTTGTACTCCTCGTGTCCTATAACACATGTTTTATAAGCTGATGTTCTCATCAGATAAAAAGTGGTGATTCTCGTATCCAAATATTAGTACCCAAAACTTCATCATATCTCAAAATTATTAACACATATTGCGATTTATAGTTGCGGGTTAAATAATTATGATATAGAAAACATAGGAATGGGGACACAATTTCAAGACATAATGTGTATAAAAGTGTAAATGCCTCTTCAAATATTAACTGATAACTGTGGTGAAAGAACTTAGACAATAGATATACAGAACTTGGACAGTAGATATACAGAACTTAGACAATAGATATACAGAACTTGGACAGTAGATATACAGAACTTGGACAGTAGATATACAGAACTAAGATAATAGATAACCAGATTTAGACAGTAAATATACAGAACTTGGACAGTAGATATACAGAACTTAGACAATAGATATACAGATTTAGACAGTAAATATACAGAGCTTAGACAATAGATATACAGAACTTGGACAATATATATACAGAACTTGGACAGTAAATATACAGAACTTGTACAGTAGAAATAAAGAATTTGGACAGTAGATATACCGAACTTGGCCAGTAGATATACCGAACTTGGACAGTAGATATAAAGAACTTGGACAGTAGATATACAGCACTTGGACAGTAGATATACAGAACTTGGACAGTAGATATACAGCACTTTGACACTAGATATACAGAACTTGGACAGTATATATGCAGAACTTGGACAGTAGATATAAAGAACTTGGACAGTAGATATACAGCACTTGGACAGTAGATATACCGAACTTGGACAGTAGATATACAGCACTTTGACACTAGATATACAGAACTTGGACAGGATATATGCAGAACTTGGACAGTAGATATAAAGAACTTGGACAGTAGATATAAAGAACGTGGACAGAAGATATACAGAACTTGGACAGTAGATATAAAGAACTTGGACAGTAGATATACAGCACTTGGACAGTAGATATACAGAACTTGGACAGAACTTGGACAGTAGATATACAGAACCTGGACAGTAGATATAAAGAACTTGGACAGTAGATATACAGCACTTGGACAGTAGATATACAGAACTTGGACAGAACTTGGACAGTAGATATAAAGAACTTGGACAGTAGATATACAGATCTTGGACAGTAGATATACAGATCCTGGACAGTAGATATAAAGAACTTGGACAGTAGATATACAGAACTTGGACAGTAGATATACAGAACTTAGACAATAGATATACAGAACTTGGACAGTAGATATACAGAACTTTGACAATAGATAACCAGATTTAGACAGTAAATATACAGAACTTAGACAATAGATTTACAGAACTTAGACAATATATACACAGAACTTGGACAGTAGATATACAGCACTTGGACAATAGATATACAGAACTTGGACAGTAGATATACGGAACTTAGACAATATATATACAGAACTTAGACAATAGATATACAGAACTTGGACAGTAGATATACAGAACTTAGACAATAGATATACAGAACTTGGACAGTAGATATACAGAACTTAGACAATAGATATACAGATTTAGACAGTAAATATACAGAACTTAGACAATAGATATACAGAACTTAGACAATATATATACAGAACTTGGACAGTAGATATACAGAACTTGTACAGTAGAAATAAAGAATTTGGACAATAGATATACCGAACTTGGCCAGTAGATATACCGAACATGGACAGTAGATATAAAGAACTTGGAAGTAGATATACAGAAATTGGACAGTAGATATACAGAACCTGGACAGTAGATATAAAGAACTTGGACAGTAGATATACAGCACTTGGACAGTAGATATACAGAACTTGGACAGTAGATATACAGCACTTTGACACTAGATATACAGAACTTGGACAGTAGATATGCAGAACTTGTACAGTAGATATAAAGAACTTGGACAGTAGATATACAGAACTTGGACAGTAGATATACAGAACCTGGACAGTAGATATAAAGAACTTGGACAGTAGATATAAAGAACGTGGACAGTAGATATACAGAACTTGGACAGTAGATATACAGAACTTGGACAGTAGATATACAGAACTTGGACAGTAGATATACAGAACTTGGACAGTAGATATACAGAACTTGGACAGTAGATATACAGAACTTGGACAGTAGATATACAGAACTTGGACAGTAGATATACAGAACTTGGACAGTAGATATACAGAACTTGGACAGTAGATATACAGAACTTGGACAGTAGATATACAGAACTTGGACAGTAGATATACAGAACTTGGACAGTAGATATACAGAACTTGGACAGTAGATATACAGAACTTGGACAGTAGATATACAGAACTTGGACAGTAGATATACAGAACTTGGACAGTAGATATACAGAACTTGGACAGTAGATATACAGAACTTGGACAGTAGATATACAGAACTTGGACAGTAGATATACAGAACTTGTACAGTAGATATACAGAACTTGTACAGTAGATATACAGAACTTGTACAGTAGATATAAAGAACTTGGACAGTAGATATACAGAACTTGTACAGTAGATATAAAGAACTTGGACAGTAGATATACAGAACTTGGACAGTAGATATACAGAACTATCATTAAACTGAGATACATAGAGGTTAACAGTTTTTAGTGGTAGCAACAGCAATACAATATACAAATTTTGATTTGTTTCAGCACGTGGTTCTAGAGATTCACGGTGACATCATGATGATCCGTGGTGGTCAGACGACACCTATGTTGAACATGAATATCTATCATAACTGTGACATGATAACCCAGGCAACCAAGCACGATGACGCCGGTACCATAGCCAAGTTTGTAAACGAATCAGTCAGCATTCCCGTCGACAGGTACGTCACTAGATGTGTCTCAACTTTCAAAAAATATCTCCCCTGTTGTCTGAATGAAAACGGTTTTCACTTAAAACGGTTTTCACGTATGCTGAAGCATATTGACTGAAAAAAAATACATGCAGTTTAATCATATTTTAATTCTAAAACATTATGGACAAATGATAAAGCAGTTTATCAAAGCCTTCTCCCGGCATACATTACATGATATCAATAATAACAGATATAACAATGAAACACACACATAAATTAAACCACAATATTATCTATTGCATACAATTATCCTATTTCGACTGAAAAAAAATTGATCACAATTATTTTGAAATTTGCATTGTATTGTGTATTTCAACGCGTGTCTTCAAAACTCTTCTTACGGGTTATATGTAGAGTGTTTCAATATTGAACCACAGCTTTTAATGGCCAATTGCATCGACCCATGTATGTTTTATTTAAAATTGTTTTAATATCAAATATCGACAAAGGAACAAGTATAGTAGGCGCTTGCCCCATACTGTTTAAAATATGTTTTATTTTCTTGAAGAATGGTGTTAGACATCATATTACAAGATGGCGTTATAAGTTATTATAAAAAGAGTCACCGTTACTACAAAACACACACACAAAAATGTCAGTACCATTTGTACACTCGAATACTAGTTGAATACCAGTTGGCCCTTTACCAGTTATAAGAAGGCTTTGTTTAAAACTCAGTAAGCTTCACGCAATATGAGCCAACATTCCAGTTAGAGTTATTCCTTAACAGGTGTCAACATTCCAGTTAGAGTTGATCCTTAACAGTTGTCAACATTCCAGTTAGAGTTGTTTCTTAACAGTTGTCAACATTCCAGTTAGAGTTGTTCCTTAACAGTTGTTAACATTCCAGTTAGAGTTGTTCCTTAACATTTGTCAACATTCCAGTTAGAGTTATTCCTTAACAGTTGTCAACATTGCAGTTAGAGTTGTTCCTTAACAGTTGTCATCATTCGAGTTAGAGTTGTTCCTTAACCGTTGTCAACATTCCAGTTAGAGTTTTTCCTTAACAGTTGTCAACATTCGAGTTAGAGTTGTTCCTTAACAGTTGTCAACCTTCCAGTTAGAGTTGTTCCTTAACAGTGGTCAACATTCGAGTTAGAGTTGTTCCTTAACAGTTGTCAACATTCCAGTTAGAGTTATTCCTTAACAGTTGTTAACATTAAACATCATTGTCAACAATACTTTTTAATGTTGACAATATTTTTGATTGCAAAACGGGCATTTCGTTGTGATACTTTTGAGACCCCGAAACAAGAATGTTTGTGATATAATTCCATTAAGCTAATCGATACTTTGTTGGAGTGTTGTACAGCTTCTATTTGTATCCGACTTGTTTTTCAACTGTCTGGTTTAAACCCCCCACCCCACCCCGAACATAACTGGAGCGATCAGGCGGGAGTAATGAGGTGTGTTTTAGAAGCTGACGAAGATGACATGCAATCTCTCACTATTGTTTAGGTATATACGAAACAACACAATCATTTGGATTCTCCTTTCAACATGTAAAATACGAGCTGAGCATGGCATTTGTGTTGAATAATAATGCTGTTCTCAATGGAACAAAATGGAGTTATCATGAACAAAAGTAGATTATTTTGGAGATAAACAGCTATGTGCCCTGTTTGTCTAACTACAGTACTGTACTATGTATAAATGGTGTATTATTACATTGTCTTACTCTTATAATACTCAAAAGCATGGTTCAGTTATTTAAATTAAGTCATCTGAACGATAATTTTTTTTATTTGTTCTCTGAAGTATATATATTTGCAACAATATTTAAATTCTTGAAATAGCATAACATGGGTATGAATTTAAAATATACTTTAGTTGATGGTTGTCGCAATATGACCTTTATCACGCATTAAAGAAGAAGAAATATTGAAAGGGATCAGCTAACCAATCTTCTAACAATAGAACGTAAAGGTGTTCAAAGTATTGTCAACTTAATGTGGCACCACGTTGAATTGCCTTCAAAAATGTTTTATATACTCTTTAAATGAATAAAATGTTTTGCATTGTCTGTCTTTAAATTGACATTTCAAATGATTATTTTGAAAGGAATTTATAATTATTAATTACACTTTTGAAAGAAAAACACATCCGTGACATAAACTGTAAGTTTCACGTTAAGCTAACAAAGTTTAATTGCCGGATCCTGGATGATCTCCAAGTACCTGAATGCCAAGCCTATATATATACTATAGATAACTATGTTTATATTCATTTTGTAGTCAGCAACTCACACATATACCTTATTTGTCGAATCTATTTTGTTAAACATTGAGACCAAGCACAGATGAACTGTTACAATTTAAATGTTTATCAATGTGTGTGTAAAACAAGTATTAACCATGGGATCGTTCACCACATATTACCGACCTTTCTCGGAATTGTGTTCTGTATAACCTGACCTAGATTTCTCTGTCACACCTAGGATATCATTTCTCTGTCATCCCTAGGGTATGATTTCTCTGTTACCCCTAGGGTATGATTTCTCTGTCATCGCTAGGGTATGATTTCTCTGTCATCGCTAGGGTATGATTTCTCTGTCACCCATAGGGTATGATTTCTCTGTCATCGCTAGGGTATGATTTCTCTGTCCCCCCTAGGGTATGATTTCTCTGTTAACCCTAGGGTATGATTTCTCTGTTAACCCTAGGGTATGATTTCTCTGTCATCCCTAGGGTATGATTTCTCTGTCACCCCCTAGGGTATGTTTTCTGTCACTCCTAGGGTATGTTTTCTCTGTCACCCCTAGGGTATGTTTTCTGTCACCCACTAGGGTATGTTTTCTCTATCACCCCTAGGGTATGTTTTCTATGTCACCCATAGGCTATGATTTTTCTGTCACCCCTAGGGTATCATTTCTCTGTCATCCCCCAGGGTATGTTTTCTCTGTCACCCCTATGGTATGTTTTCTCTGTTACCCTTAGGGTATGTTTTCTCTGTCACCACCTATGGCATGTTTTCTATGTTACCCGTAGGGAATGTTTTCTCTGTCACCCCTAGGGTATGTTTTCTCTGTCACCCCCTATGTTATGTTTTCTATGTCAACCCTAGGGTATAATTTCTCTGTCGCCCCCTAGGGTACGTTTTCTTTGTCACCCCTAGGGTATGTTTTCTCTGTCACCCCCTATGTTATGTTTTCTATGTCAACCCTAGGGTATGTTTTCTCTGTCATCACTAGTGTATGTCTTCTCAGTCATCACTAATGAATGTTTTTTTCTGTCACCCCTAGGGTATGTTTTCTGTCACCCACTAGGGTATGTTTTCTCTGTCATACCTAGGGTATGATTTCTCTGTCACCCCCTAGGGGATGTTTTCTCTGTCATCCCTAGGGTATGATTTCTCTGTCACCCCCTAGGGTATGTTTTCTATGTCACCCATAGGGTATGATTTCTCTGTCACCCCTAGGGTATGTTTTCTCTGTCATCCCTAGGGTATGATTTCTCTGTCACCCCTAGGGTATGTTTTCTGTCACTCCGAGGGTATTTTTTCTCTGTCACCCCTAAGGTATGTTTTCTGTCACCCACTAGGGTATGTTTTCTCTATAACCCCTAGGGTATGTTTTCTATGTCACCCATTGGGTATGATTTCTCTGTCACCCCCTAGGGTATGTTTTCTGTCATCCCCTAGTGTATGTTTCCTCGATCACCCCTAGGGTATGTTTTCTATGTCACCCATAGGCTATGATTTTTCTGTCACCCCTAGGGTATCATTTCTCTGTAATCCCCCAGGGTATGTTTTCTCTGTCACCCCTATGGTATGTTTTCTCTGTCACCCTTAGGGTATGTTTTCTCTGTCAGTCCCTATGTTATGTTTTCTATGTCAACCCTAGGGGATAATATCTCTGTCGCCCCCTAGGGTATGTTTTCTCTGCCACCACCTATGGCATGTTTTCTGTGTTAACCTTAGGGAATGTTTTCTATCTCACCCCTAGGGTATGTTTTCTATGTCTCCCCTAGTGTATGTTTTCTCTGTTACCCTCTAGTGTATATTTTTTCTGTCACCCCTAGGGTATGTGTTCTCTGTCATCCCTAGGGTATGATCTCTCTGTCACCCCCTAGGGTATGTTTTCTCTATCCCCCCTAGGGTATGTTTTCTATGTCATCCCTAGTGTATGTTTTCTCTGTCACCCCCTATGGCATGTTTTCTATGTTACCCTTAGGGAATGTTTTCTATGTCCCCCCTAGGGTATGTTTTCTCTGTCCCCCTTAGGGTATGTTTTCTCTGTCAGTCCCTATGTTATGTTTTCTATGTCAACCCTAGTGTATAATTTCTCTGTCGCCCCTAAGGTGTGTTTTCTCTGTCACCCCCTATGGCATGTTTTCTATGTTACCCTTAGGGAATGTTTTCTATGTCGCCCCTAGGGTATGTTTTCTCTGTCTCCCTTAGGGTATGTTTTCTCTGTGACCACCTATGGCATGTTTTCTGTGTTAACCTTAGGGAATGTTTTCTATCTCACCCCTAGGGTATGTTTTCTCTTTCATCACTAGTGTATGTTTTTTTCTGTCACCCCTAGGGTATGTTTTCTCTGTCACCCCTATGGTATGTTTCCTCTATCACCCCCTAGGGTATGTTTTCTCTGTCACCACCTATGGCATGTTTTCTATGTTAACCTTAGGGAATGTTTTCTATCTCACCCCCAGGGTATTTCTCTGTCACCCCCTATGTTATGTTTTCTATGTCAACCCTAGGGTATAATTTCTCTGTCGCCCCTAAGGTGTGTTTTCTCTGTCACCCCCTATGTTATATTTTCTATGTCATCCCTAGGGTATAATTTCTCTATCACCCCTAAGGTATGTTTTCTCTGTCATTCCTAGGGTTTGTTTTCTCTGTCATCCCTATGTTATGTTTTCTATGTCATCCCTAGGGTATGTTTTCTCTGTCACCCCTAGGGTATGTGTTCTCTGTCACCCCTATGGCATGTTTTTTCTGTTACTCCTAAGGTTATGTTGTTTTCT